ATAGAGCCCCAGTAACAGTTGCTATGCCAGATGTAGTACCTTTACTAGAATGTATTGGTAAGGCCGCCAGTCCACGGTATGTGTCTTGACATCTGCTTATCAGAGGATCTTAACTGAGGTATCCCCCTATTGATGAGACAGATACAAGGAATACTGAGAACTGATCTTCAGGTTTAGACATATGGAGCTAACCGATGGCCTTGACAAGTGTGTGTGTAATGGAAGCTAAATTAGAGAGGATAAAAGGAAAATGAATACGTAAATGGAGAGGGCAAGAAGATAACTCATGTAAGGCATTTCGTCATTTAGAGGGAACAGAGGAGCAACTGGAAGGAGAGGGGTCAAAGGAGTTTGTTTTTAAAGGCAAGAATATTGCAGCCTGTTTTATATTAATGGGAATGACCCAGTAGAGCAGGCAAACTGATGATGCAGGAAGAAGAGAGGCCAATTGTTGAAGTGATGTCTTGAGCACAAGGAGTGGGATACACGTGCAGGAAAACGATATTTGACGCTCACTGGCTCCTATTAAAAGTGGAGAACCTCTCCCCACTCCTTCTAATAAGAGGGTTTTCTTTACTGAAGCAGGCTTCCAGACAGTTTTCCTTTTTTTAACTTTTACCCCAAACCTCAGCTCAACTTATATCTTTAAATTGGTCTGCACATAACAAAATATAAAAAACTAATGCAATATTTTGTGTGTGTTTTTCACAATAATTGGTGGTACTTAGTGCTCGCTTCGGCAGCACATATACAATAATTGGTGGTACTTGCTCAGTGTATTTAGTATCCAGTTAAGGGGGTAAAGAATATTATAAATCAAGGGTGAATGGGATGATCATTAGGGTGACTGCAACCTCTTAAATGCTGAACTTTTTTTTTTTAAATGCTGAACTTTTTTTTTTTAAATGCTGAACTTTTGTCCCAAGAGGTTATAACATCAATGCCAAGTAAGTGACACAGATCTTAGGTGGTAAGAGTCCCGATAAAGGCGAGAATGTGCACTGGGTCTTGTATGGAGACAAGGCTTCGTGGAAGAGGCAGAACTTAAGCTAGACTTTGGAGAATAGATAGCATTTGGATAACAGGGTAGTTAGAGTGAAGGTTTTCTAATACAGTGGGAGGTAAGAATTTACAAAGAACCTTCTGCAGAATATGAGAAAATCATTGCAGACTGCTGGAAGAACAGCCAACCAGAATTGTGTTTCGGCACCCTGTTAATTTCCAGATTGTGTGCTGTTGAGCTGAAATCATCTGATGGTGAGTTTGATGTCCTCCTGGAAACCAAGACTAGATAGCTCTAGCTTCATTCTGAGCATTGATGTGGATACACGGGACAAGAAAGCACAAGAACTAGATCAGAAAATGAAAAGACAACATACGAAGCCTTTTCTATCCTGTCACTTTTAGAACTTTTCTGTTTATATTAAGGAGAAAAAGAATAAAGGCTGTGTAATTGAGTTCAAATTAAGAATTCCTCTAATAAAGGAGGTAACAAAAGTGAAATATGTGTTCTAAAATAGCAGTAAAAAATGTAGTCATAGGCTTTTAGGACCTGAAAAATTATACATTATTAAACCGTTGTTTTATTAACACTTAACATATCACCCTTATTGCTGTTCTGTAACATAGGGAGATTCAGTGGTATCTATACCTTCTCTTTCTTGCAAGACCTAAAGCCCATATTAACCTGCAGCCTGATACGTGACGGGGAAGCATTGTTTATGTTTCTTTTTCAGTTTCAAACATTTTATATCTCGAGCAAAAAAAGGGAGACGGCAGTAAAATCCCAGCAGTGGATTTTTAAATTTTTCAGTCTTATTTATAATAACACCATTCCTTAAATATCAAATAACCAGACATCTCAAACATCAGTGCAAGATGAAGGTGTCAGTATTATCAATTTTTTTAAATTAACTACATAGTTTGGAACTGTTAAGTCTAAAATTGTGAATAATTTTCCTTCTCACCAATTCCGATGAATACACCTTCATTGTTGTTTTCCCTCAGGGTATAAATCTGACATTTCCCTAGCCTCTTTTCTTACTCCTTTAAAAAAGTGCAAGCAAAAAAAAAAAAAAATTTTTAGGAATCTTTGAACAAGGAAGAACAAATATCATAAGCTATGTTCTCTGTGTTTCTTACCAAAAGTTTGTCAGTGGCTTTCTGTCAGTTTCTGGGTATAGAGGAGAAATTGTCTGAAGTAAAAACAGGATTTCACACTCCACCAAGCAAGGTGGGATAACACTAATAATACAGAACTTTTCAGCAGTGCTTCCGAAGATATCAGAAACTTCCATTAAAAAAGCAGGTACAGGGGCACCTGGGCGGCTCAGATGGTTAAGCATCTGCCTTCAGCTCAGGTCATGATCCCAGGGTCCTGGGATCGAGCCCCACATCGGGCTCCCTGCTCAGCGGGGAGCCTGCTTCTCCCTCTCCCTCTGCCTCTCTCCCTGCTCATGCTCTCTCTCTCTCTCTCTGTATCTCTGTGTCTCAAATGAATAAATAAAATCTTAAAAAAATAAAAGCAGGTACAATATTAAAAAAAGTCATATGATACTAGATGAAAAAATTTCCAATTATTTTCTGGGATGAGTTACACATTGGGTAAAATGTGGTAGATGAAGAAAAAAGAAGTAAGATTGTACCTAGTGAAAATAAACAGCAACGACAACAAAATATATATTTTTGTTTTCCTCCCATTTCTTGATGGTGCTGTTATTGGCACAGGGCCGATTATAGAGTTGCCAAAAATAAGGGCAAGGCTGTAGCAATGAGAATTAGCTGGAAAAGAAACAAACACGGCATTCCCATCAGTTATAATTGTTGTTTTGAGCCATTGTGTGTGTAGAATTTTAAGATACGTAATTTGCTTTTCCTGAGTGAGAACTACTTTTATTTGAAGTATGCTAAAGAAGTTTCCAAATTATAAGAGTATTTTACTAGTTGTAAATACACATAGAGATCAAAGCATGTACTCCATAAATAAATGCTGGTAAAAATTTCTGCCTAGTAACTCGATCGTGAGAGTCATGCAAATATTGATTAGGAATCAAAAAATTTTAATTCTTTAGTTTTGTTTTCCAAAAGTTGGGTTTACCCTTAACCTAAATTTTCTCATATGTAATAATTACATATTGCATATGTAATAATTACAGTGTTGATAAGAAATGGAACAGAAGAGGACAGTTTGAACAAAATCACGTCCGCCATTTGACACAGTGGGAGATAAATAGAATCAGAGATTACTGGGAGTTTTTAAGAACAAAACACAGGGGGACACCTGGGTGGCTCAGTCGGTTAAGAGCTACCTTCGGCCCGGGTCATGATCCTAAGGTCTCGGGATCGAGTCCTACATCGTGCTCCTTGCTCAGCAGGGAGCCTGCTTCTCCCTCTTTCTCCCTCTGCTTATGCTCTCTCTGTCAAATAAATAAAAAATCTTAAAAAAAAAAAAAGAGAACAAAGCACAGGAATAAGAAATATGCTGCTGTTCCTTTTTTAGGGGGAAATAAATGAATTCCAGTAAGGGAATGGAAATTTGGACATCTTATTTTTGTTCTAGAGGAGCTGAGTTCCGTAAGTGTGCGTTGGAAAACTCTGAGAGATACTGTAACTCGAGGTAGACATGACAGTACGGTGGAGACCTTTAGCTTTTTCTCTCGTTGAGTTAAACCTGTTTTGTAAAGTGAAAGATTCCAAATAAAGGGTAACGTTTTACCAAAGTAATAATTATTCCAGTCAATTCGATATATGTATTTCTGTAAACAATATGTTTCTCGAAACAGTAATTCTTTAGTAAAAATATTCTGCTCTTTCCCCCTAAAAGAGAATCTGTCTCTCTTCTTAAAGTGAGCTTGGATTAGCAGAACCACCTCTGCCGACTCCCCGGAGGCCACTCTGCCTGGGCTCGATGTTTCTGCTGGAGTACGAGTCAAGGCTGGAAACAACTGGGAGCTGTTGCTGAAGGCTGCTTTGCCTTTTTAGGGTATGAGGGTCTCCCTGTGTTTAGGATAACATGATTGACAGCTCCATTCCAGCTCCAATTAGCACCCTATAATTTATTAGCTTCTGCTTTCAGATTATGCGTTAACTTCACAAATATTTCAACCACGGAACCAGCAGCTATCAAGTGTCTCTTTCCTGATCCAGCCCTCTGGGGCCGGAGTGAAATACAAGGAAAGAGCAGTACAGTTGGTCTGTCAAGTGAGAATAATCATTTGTGTCTGTGCCTGTCTGAGGGCACGGTGTCTCTGATTTCCCTTTAGGCCTGCATCAGAGAGAGAGAGAGAGATCGAGATCTGTAGATAGATTCTATATTGTGAGGGTACCATATTTATATTATTAGAGTTTCATTTATTCATGAGAGGTAGGGAAAGCTGGTGTGGAGGAAATGTGAAATTTACGTTTGCTTAACCCCATTGCTTGTGTAAATGTCAAAACTTCAGTTATGTACAAACAGAAAATCTAATAATGATACTGCCTTCAGGACATTTATTCCTTTATTCCAGATCTTAGGATTATGTAATAGATAATGAATAATAATAAATCCTAAAAATCTTGCAAGGAAAATGGAATATATAGAGTATGGACTTTAATAAGTATGATCAAAATGTAAATTATTTACAGGCATCTTGTCAACAGAGTGTTAAAGCAGTTTTATAAAGGAATCTTATTTTTTTGGTTTCATTTAATTTTAAAGTCTTTTCAAATATCTTTCAATTTTCCTTTCATGCTTTGACACCGTAAGAATTACATTTAAAATGCAATTTATAGAAATAGCATTTATATGAAAAGCAGTTTGTCTCTTATTTTTTTATCTCCTCCAACCCCAAAGTGATCAATCACTAAGTGTTAAAAAAAAAAAAATCCTGTTTATTTTGATAGAAAGGGTATGGGTGACCACACATAAACCCTGGGTTTATGATTCTGAGCAAATTGGAGGTTATATTGATCTTAAGAGTTGTTTCCTCTGATAAAAAGGGCACGGAAAGAGCAGTACTTACCCAGAAAGAGTGGCAAGAGAAGCTTCCAGTCAAGGGATCTAAGTCCTAACCTCCACCACCTCTGTCCTCCTTCCCATCCAGGCCCAAATCAGTCTTAAGTCATTGCTAGAATTTGCCACACGTTGAAATAGAACTTCAAAGGGGGAAATGAGACAGGATGGCAACTCCTTTTAAACTAAAGGAGTAGAACAGATAGAGTTCCCTGAAGTTGGGTGACTGAGTTCTCAGCCAGAGGGCAATCGGCAGAAGGATTACTTGGCGGCGGAGAGCTGTCTCTCCCCTTTTCATCACCTCTCCCTCAGCCGAGGCCAAGCGCACAGGGAACACTGCATGGGGAGGCCACCGGTGCCAGCAGGGATGAGGAGAGGAGAAGCTTGTCTTTCTCTCAGGCCCCCCAACCAGGTAGAACACACGTGAAAACGTCATGTTGGCCTTTCCCCGTGTCATCCTTCATTCCCTTGAATGTCCTTTAATCAATGACCAGGGCCTTCTCTAATCTGCGCCATTTCATGAATAGCAACAAGACAAGGGAATTAATATTTTGCATGAATTTGGTGGGCCGAAAGCACATCCGTTAGGACTTTTAATTCACCCAAGTTCTCTCTGATGCTCTTATGACACAGACAGGATCATTATAGTTCTAGGTCGTCTTGCATTTCTACCTGGGGAACGTCTAACACGGAGGGAAATGCTGTCACCCGCGTGTCCTGCGTGCCAGGTCACTGGAGGCCGGCTCAGCAGTCTGGATGGTCCGGTCAGCACTGCTCCAAAGGCCAGTTCCAGTGAATGAGTCTCCTCACCAGCAACCTGATATTCAGGTCAGATGCAGCTCGGGGGAGAGGCTTCAGTAATCAGAACCTTGTGGCTGGGCAAATGCTCCCTGGGGGTTCTGAGCAGAGATCCTGTGGGTGCTAACGCAGTGGAGCATGGGCAGAGTCCCTTCCAGTGGGGGTTGTTTGGAGACAGTGGCCAGCAAAGAATCCACCGCGTGCTTTCTTCCTCAACGGCATACTCAGCGGCAAACTCTCAAAAGCGAGCTGGGACTTAATGCGTTTTAGTTAGGCTTGTATATACTAGTGAACTGTGCCAATGGAACATGGATTAAAAAAATCCACAGAGAAGTCCAGAGTTAATTTTAGTTATTGCCTCAATGTCCAAACCTCAGGCTAACTCTTTACACGACTCGGTCGGGTTGGGTGTGAAGAGCTTCAGGGCAGGGAAGTCTGCTAAATACTGAAATGAATTAATAAGAGGAGCAATAATAATTCCTTCCTGGAGAAGAATGGAAATCTGCATCTGACTGAATGGTCTATAGATAGTATCATTTGATGAAGAGGTGTGAAAATGTCCTATGATAGTTCCTTTGAGACCAGGGATTCCGTAAGGTCTGTGGTATGTCAGTCTTTGGTGCCCTGCCTCTTTCCCCTTCCTTCTTCATCTGCCATGGAGGAGAAAGTAAACCCAGAGTCGAGCCGCCCAAGACAAATCAGAAGAGGACAAGCTGCCTGTGCGGTGGGTGACAGTGTGGTCTCTGCATCCAGGCTACCTGGGGTGGGATCCTGGCTCTGCCACTTACTGGCTGGGTGACTGGGCAAATTATTTCTCCTCTGTGAGCCTTGATTATCTCGTGGGTAAGAAGGGGATCACCATCATACATACACATAGACTTGCTGTCAGACTTAAATGAGTTAACCTGCATATGAAGCCCTCCGACCAGCGCCTGATCAACAATTAACATCAGTTGTTGTGAGTGCTGTCACATCTGATGCAGCATAATCATCAAGTACCTTCCACAGAAGCAAAACCAGTAATAGGTTCTTGAAATGATCATAATCTACTTCACAGCTGCCAAGATGACAGAACGAGGGGATGCGTACGTCTGCTAAGCCATACTCTGAATAAGGTCCCTTACTGCCCCCAACTCTTGAGACTATTATCCAAGATAAATTGTATTTGTTCCTCATGTTATAACGAAGGTCAAGATTTGAGCTACTATTTTTATGCTTTAACAATCTAGAAGGGCAATTTGAACATAACACAAAATATTTCTTTCGGGCACTTTAGTGAATGAACACAATTTTAGCATCAAGAGAAAATTAAGAGAAAAGACCACTCATTTCTTAATAATTAACCCCTCTCTCTCTCCTCTTTCTTTCTTCCTTTTTTTTTGGGGGGGTGGGTGAGGGGGCTAGTGGTAGGTTTGTTTTCTTAGCCTAGCTTCCTAAACTGTAATATAACCAATATTTCAAAAACACTTTTTAACTGACTACTGTCTTAAGAGTCTAGAATCAAAGAAGTAACAATAATTCTCTTCTGGAGAATAATAAATGTGTGCCTCACTGAATGGTGTCCAGGTGGTGCTTTCCGTACCATCTCTACTTTCAACCCAGTGAATGCTGTCAGGTAAGCCTGGGCTTCTGCAGGCCACAGTTTTCTCATTTGTGAAACAGAGGTGGGATACCTAACTTCTCACTCCTGGGGTTGATGTCAAGTGGAAAAGGGTTAGTGGGTTTCACAGAATGGCAAACACTTTGGAAAAACGAACAGCACTATATACATAAAGTAATATTAGTTACTGACATCAGATTGTACTACTATAAATTATTTTATTCTACTCGAGAAAGACTAAGACATTTATTTTCTTTTTATGAAATAACACAGCGACCCTGTAGTAAAGAGACATCTTTACTGTTCATTTCTTCTTCCTGATCACCTTCAGCTTGGCCCACGCAAGGACCCCTTCCCCTGTGCCAAAACGAAAGTGACCAAATCGCAACCACAGAGACTGAGAGGAACATTCGAGGTATTAGAGACTCTGTGGACATTTCTTCCCCTTGTGGCGATTCCTGGTTCTTCTTCATGGAGACAGTTGGGGTTTCTTGCCTTTTTTTTTTCTTCCATCCAGAGGAGGATGGAAGGAGAGACGGAATTTGTGGGAGAGAAGGCAGAGAAGGGCTTCTTCTTTCATCGTAAAGTGTTCCTCATAAAAAATATGATATATATCTACACACACACACACACACACACAAACTAGATCCAGTGCAATTGCAATTGTTGTGCCAAACACTGGGAAGCGCCACCTTGGTCGATGTATTTCTGGAGTTTTCAACAGTTGTCCTACAACAGCTGCATTTCAGTAAGACTTGGGCAGGTGGCTCCAGATAAGCCACTTGCCACTCACATTTAGGCTGAGGCTTCCACGTTCACAGTCCAAAGGAAAAGAGTGCGTCTTTGTGTCTGGAGTGGGTGTTGCAGAGAGGGAGTGGGCACGAAGGGAGCTGGAGGCCATGAGGTGAGGAAGAAGGCATTGCGAGTTGGCCTCTTTTACTTCTCTACCCCAGTCTTCGATGCAAATACAAATACAGTTGAAATGTGAGGATACTGGATACTGACATCAGTAGTGCTTTGGTCACACTACTTAATGATATAATTCACATCAGCATAAAAAATATTCACACCAAAATGTCTTTTCTTCCCCTCCTCTTTCCAAGCAAACTTAGGACATCATATCTAAGTGAGCTCACCGCCGGTATTTCCAGTGATTTGCCCAAGAGTCATGAAACATGATTCAGAGTCTTTGGATCTGCTCTTTCCGCAGAAGGAATTACTGTTAGACAGAATTTCTGTAGATGTATGTTTTGGTTTCCCAACACGCGGAGATGTTTGAAGTCTCTGCCTTCCCCCGCGTCGTCATCCATGAAGGGAGAGGCCCAGATGCTGAGCCTCCGTGGCTGGTCGGAAGGGAAAGGGAAGGGGAAACCCGGGGTCATCTGATCAGCTCAGGAGGGATGCACCACAGAGGGAATAACGACGAGCTGCAAACCAAGATCAGAAGCCATTACAAACCCACTCGATTTCAGCTCTGAGAGTCAGCACTTGCTCTATGCAGAGACCTATAGGGAACAAGGCTGGCTGTCTAAAACCAGTACAGATCCTTGCTTTTGTCCTGAGGCTGTAAACCTGAAAACAGAGAGAAAACAAAAGAAAGAGAGAGGGAGAGAGGGAGAAGAGAAACAGGGAGAGAGAAGGGGTTGGGGGTGGGAAGGCACAGGTATTTAAGGAAAGAGAAAGACAAACACCACTGTTTTATTGTGAATGTCACAGAATTCGTTTAAAGGGCATGAATGAAAGTAAAAGCGAAGCAAACAGAAATGTCAGATCTTCACCTGAAGGAAGGGCGGGTGGGCAAGACCACAAGCCAACGATTGCATTTATAATATAACCATTTTTTGGTTATGCCCTAAAAATAAAGGAAGCAGAAGAATGTACCTTTCAAATTCAACTCGTTGAGCCAGAAACTTAATAATATAGTCATGGAAATCACATTCTCTTTAAGTTTTACATTTTAAGAGACCTATTTAATTTGGCAATTAGGTTGCTATCAGATGCACATTTTTCTTTCCTTATAATTGTCCCTAAGAGACAATATCCTCTGCCCAAGCTGTAGAAGATTTTGAACTACACTCTTAGCTCTAGGTCCTCTAGATCAGCGCTGTCCAATAAAAACACAATGGGAGCCACCAGCATAATTCTAAATATTCTAGCAGCCACATTGGAGAAAAGTAAAAAGAACCAGATGAGAATTAATCTTAGTAATATATTTTATTTAACCCAATATGTTCAATATGCAATGTGTCGAAAGTATTCCAACATGCAATCAACATAGAAATATTAGTGAGATGAATTTTACATTTTTTCTTTGTACAGTTTTGAAATCCAGTGCTTATTTTGCGCGTACAGCACGTCCCAATTCGTCCTAGCCACATTTCAAGTGCTCAACAAGTACATGTGGCTAGCGGTTACAGAATTGAACAGCGCAGAGCTAGAAACTTCTCAACAAATTATTTACTTATTTGTTTATTTATTTATATTTGAAAAAAATCCCCTTTTAGATCTACCAGCCAGGTTAGGGCAGTGTCCTTTCTCATTCTGCCCACACCGATGACACTGGGTCACCTGTCTGCTGAAGCACAACCCTGCCATGCAGACCTCTGGGCCACAACGTCACTGGGGTCTCCAAGGAGAACTAAGGGGGATCCGGGGCTCAGTCCAGGGTCGGACACAGGGCAGGAGGGGCCCGGGGAGGCCAAGCTCCCTCTCCCGCTTACCTGAGTCCACGCTGAGTCCCAGACCCTGGGCCACGTCCCCCGCGGGGCTGGCGAAGGGTCCCCCGGGCGCGGCCCACGCGGCGCCGGTCGGCTCGCCCTTGGCGGAGAGCTCGCAGGGCGGGCTGCCGGGCGCGGGCGCCGGGGCGGGCGCGAGGCGGGCCGGGCGCCCGGAGGCTGCGGGCATCAGCAGCGGCCCGTAGCGCGGGTCGAAGTGCGGCGCGTAGACCTCGTGCACGGCGGCGGGCCGCGGGTAGGGGGCGGCCTGGGCGCCGAGGGCGCTGCCCAGCGCGTAGGGGTGGTGCGGGTGCGCGTGGTGCGGGTGCGCGTGGTGCCAGGGCTCGGCCGCGCCCTGGTGCAGGTGGCTGTGCAGCGCGGCCGGCGAGTAGGGGTCGGCGGCGGCGAAGGGCAGCTCCGAGTGCGCGGCGGCCAGCGGGCTGCCCAGCGGCGCGGGCACCGGTGCCTGGTACGCGCTGTTCCAGAAGGAGGCGGGGAAGCTGCGCTGGCTCATCGGGAAGGAGCCGTCTGCAGGCCGGCGAGGCGGAGGGGAGGAAAGGAAGAGAGGAGCGCGTCACCGCGGGGGAGATGGCAGCGCCACCGCCGCGGGGCGGGAAAGCTGAACGCGCCTGGCGGGCAAAGGGCGGGCAAGCCGCGGCGGGGAGCGGACCCGCAGCCGGGCCTCGGGGGCGGCGCCTTGCTGAGGGGGCAGCGGCCTGCGAATTCGAGGCTGAGGCACCGCAAAGTGGGGGAAACCCTTCGGGAAGGAGGGCCGCTCCCTCGGAATTTGCAGACGCGTCTCCAGTGCGGAAACCCCAGGACGGACTAGACTGGGAGAGGAAGAGAGGAGAGACACTCCCTTCCGTTCCAGTTTTGGGGCGCGGGGAGCTTCCTCCGACTCGAGGCTGCGCTGCCTCGGCGGCCTTGGGGTAGACTCGGCCTCCCGGTCCCAGCCCGCAGCCTCGCCCCAAGCTAAAGATACCTCTTCCCACTCTTGGTCAGCAGCCTAGCGATTTCACTAGCCCCTCTCGCGTTTCAGCCTCCCCAGCTCCAGAAAATGTACCCCTCCAAGGCTCCGATAGACTGGAAGTCCATCGACATATTTCAAAGTCTTGCTATTATTAGCCTCCTTTCTAGAAACCTACTTTCAAATATTTTTTTCCAAGAACGCAAGCAAAAGAGTAAACTGGACACACTAAAAGGGCAGTTGTATTATTTGCAGAGGGACGCAAAGGGACAGATCTTTTAAGTTTTAATTAATAATACCTGTTCCTTAAAGTGTGGATGCCAGGAATAATAGTAATTCTTATGGCCAGTATCGCTGTTGACCCCTAGTGCCGGGAAGCATTTTAAGAGAACAACAGCATTTAGATCAAATTTGTTGTCCTCGGTGGGAACGGAGGGAAGGAAAGATATTTAATTCCGGGGGACTTGATCGAGCACCTCCTCTAGGGAAGGCATCTGCCCCACATACTAGAGAATTAAAAATGTGTTGAGAATGCATTCTAAGAGAGAGTAAAAAAAAAAAGTTCTGTATTCCAAACTAATGATTTGAGATCTTATCTAGGCAAAGATTGCACAAACTGTCAGACACTCTTAAGAGAAAAAGGGAGGGTGAGAGTTGTCATCCTCCTCCCCAAATGTCACATTCGTTTTTCTTTTACAAGAAAGTCCTCATTTCTCATCTTGGTAGAACACATCAAAAATTAAATTTAGTGAGAAAGCTTACCAAATAGTTATCCCCACCCTTGCCTGGGAATAAAAAGAGATTGAGATTTCAGAATAGAAGGGAGACTGGCCAATAAATCATTGTCCCAGGCTAGATAAAGCAGTGCTTTGTGAGAAGGGTAGAACAATAAAGAGGGGGTGTTTTGGGGGAAAGCCCTAGAGATGTTTTGGCTGTACCTAAGTTTTTATTTCTTTGGTACTTGCTTACTGAAAGACATTTTCTGCTTCAAGATTTCCTAAGTAATTGAAGCCTAGCAAAAAGCATACATACGTTTTAAGAGACATTCATCAGCAGGTTTTGCTTCCGGTGGAGTCTAGGACTTTCTCCTCTGGGCAAATTTTCAGGAACTGCTAAGAGCCCTGGAGGTTGTTGTAGGTGAAGATCTTCCACGTGGCTTGGGATTGTGTTCGAAACCTCACACTCCCACAGCACTTTTACATACATTTTCATATTTGTCGTACAGCCATCTCCAGCGACAGTTAAGAGGGCAAGTATTATCCTAATTTTAGAGACCGGTAAATAGAGTGACCCCAAAGAGGTTAAGAGACTTGCCCAAGGTCATATTGCTAGGAAGTGGTAGGGCCAGCAGGAAAATCCAGGTCTCCCAATTCCAAGGCTAGTGTTTTTTCGAAGTCACTGCCCTGCTCTGCTCCGCCTCTTCAAGGAGAGATTTTTTTTCCTTCCTTCCTTTTACTTACACTCCCCACAAGCCCCTCCTCACCTCCTTCCTCTCTGACACCTTTCCTTGAGCCCAGTAGGTGGGCCCCAGGCTGAGAAGGCTCTCTACCTGCCCTTAGAAGCGAGCCCTTTACTCACCCCGCCAGGGCCCGGAGCTCCTGGGTGCTTTGCTGCTTGTACAGCTTGGGGAATAGCTGCTAGGCTGGCTCAGGGCCCTACTGAAGTGCTCATCCACCACAGAGCTGATGTCCCCCTGGAAATAGGTGAAGAGGACGCAGCGGGAGTTGATGTACTCTGCCTCTGGTGGGCGCTCTTTCTCCGGGCTGCCTTCTTCCTCTTTGATACTGGCTGGAGTTTGGCTGGAAAAGGAGCTGCCGCTGCCCGTGCTGTTGCTGGGGCTGGCGTTGCACTCTTGCGCTTCCTGCATCTTGGAGTAATAGGCTAGTTTCTGCTCCAAGAGAGAAAGAACAGAAAGGTCAGTTTCAAAAGAGATGGCAAACTGGGTTCCCACCTCGCTCCTTCAGATCCCTAAGGTATCCAGGGGAAAACTGGCATCCAGGCCTAAGCCCTGTGCTCAGTAACATGCGTGAGCAACTTGAGAGGCAGATTGCCCTGCCTGGTGTCTCTGGCTCCCCAGAATTCCTGCCAGACCCCAGGGAAGCTCTCTGAAGCTGTCAGGGGAAAAATCCCAGAAGATGCCAGGCTATGAGCTGAGTTGGGCCACAGAGCCAGGTTTGGGGCAGATATATTTTTATAATCAGGCTCCAAGGATGAAGGGCACCCAAATCCAGTTAGAGCCTGACTGTTCCCTGCCTAAGAATCCAGGGCAGATGCACAAGATGCAAGATTCAAGCATCATCCTGATAGAGCATGAAAATGTCAAAACCCACTCCATGCAGCCAGGAATGTAGAGGAAAAACTGCCACAGAGGTAGGATATAGTTCCATTTAGGAAAGAATCATGTGGGGTAAAAATGTGGAATAACATTCCGACTTGGATCATGTGAATAAATGCAAGCTGATATTTGTTTGGTCGCCCATAAACTGTCCACTTAAAAGTCTATCTCAGTTTTTAAGGAGATCTTCTTTTGAGTAAGGAAAAACCAGACGGCTGGCTGTGAGCATTTCGACCCTCATCATCTCTGTGCACATTGAGGAAACACGTAATAACAAGGAACGAAGAAGAAGCTCTTGGCCATGAGGATGGGTAAATTGTGGCTGTCTGGCAGTGATTTTAAAAACCAAGTGTAGCTGCTGAAATATTTTCTTAGAAATGAGCAATAGACTGAATGCAGTGTCAACGCATTTATGCAGGCAGAGATGGCCTGACGCAGGCTGATCATACAAAAATGAACAGAGCACTTAATGGAATAGGTTGGATTGGTCCAGGATCAGAGAGGAGAAAGGACCAAACAGACAGAAAAGCAACCCCTCTCTCTTCTTTGCAATAGTGCCAACCTGGGAAGGAGTCGTCTCAGACCCTGGAGCCAAAAGACTGTAGTTACTTAGTAGAATGCCCACTTCTACCACATTCCCGCTTGGCTTATAATGAGGGACTCTGGTGATTCCCCAAATTAACTTTGTGAGACTAAACAAACTCTTAGATGGAAAATTTGAAAGGGGTGGGGGAGGTAGAAGGAGAAAAGCAAAAAGCAAAACCTACTCCTTCCATCATTAATTCATCAGGAAATTTTCGAATGGACATTCTGAATTTGCAATCAAAATTGGCAAAAACTTGGACCGGCGGTCCGGAAGTATTTCAGTCTCTCTTGAGGAGTCCAGGCCCTCACTTTGGAACCTGCTCCTGACTCCTACAGCCCCCTGGGTGTGTGATCTTATTCTTTGACTGGACTACGGTCTTCAGTTTCTACAATCTCAGCTGAGGACGTGGAAAGAAAAACTGGTCGACCAGACTCCGCCCGGAGAAGAGAGAAATTGGAATAATTAAACGAAACTTCAAGAGTTTGCCGGAATGGGGTTAAGTGGCCTTCTTACAGATGGGTTTGTGGACGGCAGGATAGCCCGATGCAGCCACTCAGGCTCTAGAAAGGCGAAATATTATCTCCGAAGCTCGCATGCGCCAGGTCAATTGCACCCCAATAATAATCCCCAGAATTTTGCAAAGATTATAAAACCCACGCGTTCACGCAGTTCTCTTTGTAACGAATTCTCCGGTTCCGGAATTAATTGGCCTGATCCCTTGAGAACTGAAACGGGAAAAAGTCACTCCTCAGATAAGCTTGCAGAGATGGGAACGCAGGTCTTTGTGTTTTAGGCAGAAAGACAGAGACAGGTCTTTGCTTTTGTTCTCTTGTCACTCTCACCTTTGAGACCAAAGTTTGGTTTTCCCTGCGTGAGCTTTGCTCGCGTCTCCCCTCACCCGCACCGAAGAATCTGGAGTCCGACAGATCGCTCGCGCGATCCTCGTATGATGGTTCCCCGGAAGGACGGGGCACGCATTAGCGGGCTTAGCTGCCTTCCCGAGAGAGCAAGTGGACAAGCTAAAGGGGTTAGCTCAACCTACAGCGCCGGCAATCCCCGCATCCTCCGGGCTCCCGCCGCTGGCAGGACGCCCCGGACCGGTGCGGAGGTGCCCCGGACCTCGGGGTACAGGCGGTGCTTCAGGAAGCGGGGGCGCGCCACCCGCCTCCAAGGTCCCGGCCCGGAGGAGACACGTACCTGGTGGTAAGGGGTGTAGGCGGCTGCAAAGTAAGGCTGGGGAGGACCATAGACTTGGTACATAACATCCAGACAGCTCATGGCTCCCCGCAGCGGAGACGGCTAAGTGGTTTTTCATCAACTCTGGGTCGGTGGAGCGCAGTGATTCTGCATGGGCGGCGCTTGGACCCGAGCTCCCGAGTCATCGGCGGCGGAGCGGTGGGCAGCGCGCTCAGCGGTTCGGGATCCCGCTCGCAGGCTCCCCTCCCACCCCGGCAATTTGAGCCCGGACCGCGCTCCGGGAGAGAAGCGCCCGGGCTCCCGCTAGTGGGCATTTAAGCCCCACGCCGGACTGGCGTGCTGACGCCACTCCGGGCCGCGAAGGGGGCGGGGACCGGGGGGCCAATGGGGAGCCAGGGACTGGGCCCGAGGGGCTACCCGCGTGTTTCCCCGGGCTCCCCCGCCGCTCGCTGCTAGCCAAGGGTGCGGCGAACCGCGCGCCTCCGAGCCTGGGCCCTGAGGCTTCGCACCAAGAGGAGTAGGATTCCCAGGCTAAAGCTGGACAGAGAAGCAAACCAAGAGAGAGACAGAAAAGGGAGAGAGGGAGGGAGGAGTGCAGGAGGGGGAAAGTGGGGGTTCTCACACTTGGGGAGAGAAAGAAGTTTGATGCGTGGTGGCAAAAGTCCCGTGGGAGAGCCCCGGCCTCAAACTGGAGAGTTGAGAGTGTGAGAGTCCGGGGGTGGCCAGGTGGGGCAGATTATCTGCTCTCGGCTTCTGGTGAGTGCCGGCCGGGATAGCGCGCTCCCCAGGAATCCCCTAGGGGATTCGCGGCACCTCAGACAGGAAGTCGAGGGAGTCGGGAGACTCCTGCCGGGCGTGGAGGAGCTCCCTCTGGGGGGGAAATGGCAGTAGCTGAAGCCGGTAAAGACTGCCCTGATGCACCTCCTCTGACCCAGCCCGCCCGCCGCCAGCTCACACATCTCAGTTCCGCTCTCTGGGGTCGGTCCCTTCTGCCTCTTTACAGAGTTCGATCCCGACACTTGCTCTCTGAAGTCCCCCACCCAAACCCGCTCCGTGGGCGCTGTTCGCGCCCCGCCTCTGGCTCCTCCCGGTGCGAGTTGCTTTCGAGGAGTCCAGGAGGCCCTACCCAGCCCCCGGCAGCCCCGGGTCTCCTCGGCCTGAGTCCTTTAGTGTTGCGGTAACTTCTTGGGACGAGGACTTGTTGACTGCAAGAGGAGTCATGCTAGGGAATGCAGGAAGTCAGACAGGACTTTTGCTTTATTTTAGAGAGTTGAAAGGATGCATTTCAATTGTGAAGCGTGCATCGCTGTTCTCTTTCCTGCCCTGAGAGCCTTCCTGGCTCGGATGGGCTTCCTGCCACGCTCTTCATTCTTGCGCAAGCATTCCCCACTCCCAACACAGCCCCCCTGGGGAGGAGGGTGTCACAGTGGAGTCCTCCGTCCCGCAAGTTTAGGGATGAATCGAGACAACACTGTCGTGTCGGTATGGCTGGGTCAGGTGGTGGGAAGGGCGTTACAGGAATAGTGGTGGGCCTGACTTGAGAGGGCGGTGGGGGCAGAGCTTGGGAACACTGAGAGCCCAGAACCAAGGAAGAGGCAGCGTGCATTACGGAACTCCAGTTACTACCCAGTTTAAAAACAGCAAAAAGTCTGACATCGATTCCCAGGCTGTAAAACTGCGAACAAATGCACTCTTAAAGATATATTTGTCTTCAAAACGTGAATATTTAAGCCAAATTGTTTCCGGGGTGAGGTTTTGGTTTTGCCCGAATAATAAATGCGAAGTGACTCCAAGTCTCCAGTTCGGTTTATAAATGGTGAACTGTCCCGAGCGATCGAAGAGTTTCTTGTACGATGTCGACTTTAAAGAAAATTAAAAAAAAAAAAAAAAAAAAGACTCCACTCAGTCCAGTTTTACGCATGCCTTTTCAGGGGCCAGACTGCCTTGTGGCTGAACTCTGCAGGCTCCTAGATCCTTTGGCGATCTAGGCGCACAGGTAGAGCAGAATATCCTTCCCGCCCCCACCCCAACCCTCCCGCCCAGGGTGCTTCGGGGAAGGGCAATCGCCTTGGTTTTCTCTGGAGGCTGAAGAGCGAACCTTCATCCAAAGAGCCGCAAAGTGCCCTCCTGGAGGCGGGAGGAGGGCGTATAGGTCCCAGCCTTTCTCGCCGCCGAGGCGCGCGCTCGCTGCCGAGGGCCGCTCCGCCCTGCCCCGCGCCAGGTTCTGGCTCCGCGGGCCCGCGCTTCCGGAGTCGGGTCTGAGCGAGAGCCGAGGTGCCCAGGACAGATCGCGGCCAGTAGGTGCGACCACGGAGGGTCACACTCTCCCCTTCTGCGCAGGTCCTGCTGTCTATCTGTGGACACAGAGGTTCTGCTTTGGCTTCCTCCAGCTAGGGCATCTCCGGGACCGAGCGTCCTTCGCCGCAGCGCGCTCCTCCCCGCGCTACCCAGGCTCCGCGGCGTGGCTGGAGGCCCGCAGTACTGCGTGGGTAAAGCGCTGGGGCGTGAGCGCCGGATCGCGCGCCTAGCGAGGGCTGGGCAGCTCGATTCTCGTCCTTGCTCACCTCGCAGTAGCCACCTCCTATCCCCTGTACCCACTCACTTTGATATTTTTACTTGACTTTGACCATGGGACCAAAGGAACTTTGATTTTTTCCCACAAATTCAGGAGAAAATAACGACAATCTCTCTGCATCCAGCGAGGCCCAGCAAAATGGTAGTTATGTTTGAAAAGGATTACAGGAGCGGTGACATCCCACGTTTCGAACAAAGTCAATGAAGAGAAGGTGATGCCAGTTGCCTAAGGCTGCTTTCTTTTCACATTGCTCAATCTCCTCTACTTGAACCAGTTTTTTAAAACCTTGCTCAAGCTAAGTGAGGGTACTGGCCGCACAGGAGTTTAAAGGAACACAGGGAATTGGGGCCAGTGAGCATCGATTTGAATCTAGGCAGGATTGCCTCCCTCCAAATCCAAGGTAAAGGAAGTTGCCTCCCTCCAAATCCAAGGTAAAGGAAGAAAAATGAAGAGTCCGAAGTTTTACAGTATGCCCACTGATTGGAACAAGGTCAGTATTTTCCGTGTATCTGGAAAGGTGTCATTTACACAAAGGTAGTATTTCTCAATCAGATGAGATTGTGCCTTGATTATAAACTGAAGTAGAAAGTAAAACAACTAAATTTAATCCCCTCTACCTCCTGTACTCTTGCAGATATTCAAACCACCAGGACATGAACTGATCAAAGAAGTGACAAACCACCAGGACTTGAACTCGTCAGAGAAGTGAGATTTTGATTCAGAGCCTTGGGAATGGACTACAGAAAATTGGGGGAAAAGTCTCTCCCTTCCTCTCTCTCCCCTTCCCCCAGTTATTTTAGAAGAGACTGCACACCAGACAGATGCCTCTGAATTTGGCTCCCCTGACAAATGTATCAACATCCCCAGAAATGTCAACTATTACCATGACAGCTAATCTAATTGCCTTTTAACTTCCTAATTGGACAGAGGGAATATCAAAACTTCTTTTAGAATGAATTCCACTTTATGATAGCTTCATGGCAATTTATTGAGCTGCGAGGAGGGAATTTGCCAAATGAAAGTAGTTAATTCCACCAAAATTTCCTTTTAGTATCCCATTTTAGGGTTCCATTCTTTTTTTTTCTAGTGTGCAATTCTAACAATATCTAGAACTGTGAAAATAAAAGGTGCCTTTATTCTTGAAGTTAACAAGTGAAGTTAATTACTTTTGAATGATTACATGTTTCAAGATATCACAATGAAATACTTTATTTTGTCTTCAGGAGGGTTATTTATCATTTTCCTAAGCTAATTGACTTCAGTACCTTCAGAATTTGTCTGTCCACCTGTGGCATCTTATTCTTAAAACTGCAAAGAAACAACTTTAAAGGAAGGATGTAGGAATAGAACGAATTTGGAGAACTGACCTGCAGCCAGCCCAGGCCCTCCCTCACCCATGATTTATTTGGATCATTGATTGTTGGCATTTTATGTTGCCTTATGCTGCCAACCAAAGGAGATGAACACAGTGGTAATCTCATAGACATTTTTTTTTAACCGCTAAACCCATCCTGGCCTGTTTTACAGAGCAGAGATGTATTTGGAATTTGAGAGTACCTGACAAGATTTTGTGGATTCCAAATATTAATAATATTAGTTGAAAACATGTCTGCAAAAGTCAGGTTTTGGGGGCACGGTGTGTTATTTAACAATGGTACTCTGGTAACTAATGGGGAATCCAAATGGTGATTTTATTTAAAAAAAGAAAAAGAGAAATTTCTGTATTCTGAAAGCTCACCTAAAAGCTAAGTAGAGGAATTCCAGTTGGACTTAGTGAAAAACCAAGGCGAAGAGAATTCAATTCTTTTCTTTTTTTCTTTTTTTTTAATTAATTTATTTATTTGAGAGAGCGAGAATGAGAGAGAGAGTACATGAGAGGGGGGAGGGTGAGAGGGAGAAGCAGGCTCCCCGCTGAGCAGGGAGCCCGATGCGGGACTCGATCCCGGGACTCCAGAATCATGACCTGAGCCGAAGGCAGTCGCCCAACCAACTGAGCCACCCAGGTGCCCCTTTCTTTTTTTTTTTTTTCAAGAGCCTGCTGTGGGACTCAATCCCAGGGCCCTGGGATCATGATCTGAGCGGGAGGCAGATGCTTAACCTCCTGAGCCACCCAGATGCCCCAAATTCCATTATTTTCATACAAACTTAGAATAGCTCTTAATGTCTTCAAGTAAAAACCTTCCATGGTCTACCTTAATGAACAGAAGAGACTACTTCGTAACTATTGACATATATTTAATTACCATAATATTAAACTTTTCCGCTTTCATATTTTAAAAACTATTTTCATGTTACATACAAGTCACCTTCAGTTTAGGTGAAATCATCACAACTTTCTGAATTTAGCTTTCTCTTAAGTTCTTATTGATGTCAATGGCCAGTTCTAAGATTGAGAAATATATTTAATACCACATTCATCTTTTAGAAGTAAGTTCTTTTTAATGAGTCTCTATGAAATGCGTGGTATAAAGATATCATTACACAAACTCATATGATTCAAACCTTTCAAAATGATAATGTACAAATGGCAAGAAGAGAGACTTGGAATAGGCGTGTGTGAAATATTTTGGCTTGCTATGTTTTTATAAGAGAGTAAGAGAAGGAATTTGCATTCTCTGCTTTTGACTTGGACACAAAGGGTTAAGTCAGAGAGCACATATCAATTATTTCTTAATAGGGAGAAGTTTTCATCTTTACTTGCCTGGAAAAGTCACTCTTAATTGTCTTTAATTTCTGATTA